TATTTGCTTTCTCTCTGTGAATTATGGTGAAGATTAATGCCATTATAATGTCTGTCCAAAAACATAAGGCTATAGTCAACAGCCAGTTAGCTTAGCTTAGCTTAGCACAAAGACCGGTAACAGGGGGAACCAGGTAGCCTGATACAGTCCAAAGGTAACTAAATCCACCCACCAGCACCTCTAAAGCTCACTTGTACCTTGTCTGTTTAATATGTATGTAAGGGACTAAGCAGTGAGACAATGAGGAAAAAAATTGGTTTTTAATTTACTCCAAAAATTCAAAAACAAGATAAACAAGAATTTAATAACTATAAGAGGTCAACTAAATATACTATACTTAAATAGCAGCTAAACAAAGTGTTAGCTGAACAAACTGACCTAACGCAATGACACATGAGGGAACATATATAGTGGTTTGATAAAACCAAATAACACTAACCATAACAAAATGGCCCAAATCCCCCTCATGACACATCAGCACGTGGTTTGGCCCAATGAGCTGGCCGCAAGATTTAAGAGTCCTCAACCCTCAGCCACACCTTTTGCTCCAGAAGAAAGAATCCGCCCCCAACAATTGGTAACTCAAAGAAAAAGAAACAAATGATTAATGTAACAGAAAATTGCTTGTGCAACCATAGTGTTAAAATGTGTGCACTCTATGTAAAACAATATAAGGCTACAAAGTGTGTAATTGTTTGGGTGTGGTTGAGTGCAAATTACATTAACCTGTATAGATGGCAACTAATGAGGTGAGGTGAGTGTGAACTGGGGTGATATTATCCTGTGTGGCTGTGACTATCACACTGTAAAGGTGTAAAAATAACAGATTTGCATTTTACGTAGGGATATTTACCAGTTTTTCTCTTGGCTGGAAGCAGTAACTTTCTGGTGTCTCTGCTTGTTGCCTGGCAAATCGTCCCAGACAAAAAACATTTTGTCACAAAACCGCAGCAAAGAAACAGCAAATTGATGTTTTACTCTTTTGTGTACGGATTCAACAATAGATATAATGTGTTAATTAGATATCTTTTAGAGGTGATGGAGGAGGTGGACTTTTAGAACTATTGTTTTAACCAAAAATTTAAGTTTACCTGACCATAAAGTCACTTATTTGTCCCTACTACATAATCAATGAAAGTACAAAAGATAAACACAGACAAAAGGTCAGTCATACGTAGAAGTACCTCAATGGTATAGGACAGAGAAACGTTCTCTTCCCTTGCTCCAGTTGTGTGTTTCTGCTGGAGGAAGAGTGAGCTACAGCTACAGCAGGCTTTAAGTTGTAATGAGAGCCCCGAGCCGTCCGCCCTGCGCTGGGACTCTGGAGTGGTTTGAGAGTGGGCCAGACATTCCAGAAGAGATCGCCGCCCAGACACCCAGCAGCAGCCAGTCAGCAACAAATTCCAGAATAGCAGCACTGCCGCTAAAAATAGTCATCTGGACAGGAGAGGGATGGAGAGCTGGATGTGTGGAGGGGGCCCGCTGGATGGAGGATGAATGATAGAGGAGTGGAAGCTGAGCAGGAAAGGAGGGTGGTTTATTCCATTCCATATCCAGTCACAATGTTATCACAGCGGCGCAGAGGAAAAGGAGTCCTGCAGGGATGTGAGTTAGGACCCTGTGTGAGTGCTTTCTGAGAGAGAGTGAGAGAGAATGAAAGAGGACTTATAAAAATGTCCGTGCATTTGTGTGTGCATGTGCAAAAGCGGCCTCTCAGACTGTTATTTCTAAAACAATGTGTCAGCTAACTGAGGGAACACACGCTCCACTGTACTCAGGACTTTCTTCAGGCCCGACCCTCTGTTTATTTTTCCTGCAATGAACGGGCAGCTCGGTTTACAACAGCCACCCTAAACCTTCACTGTGGAACATCCTGCCTGCAACAGCAGCCAGACGTGCCAAGGCAGCACTGACCTCGTCAAATCCTCCACCATTTTTTGCTCAATTTGCAAAATATCCCCCTACTTTCCTGGCCATTTTTCTGGAGACAAAAGAAGTAGTAAACTGATTTGAAGCGCATGTAAATTCTTCAGCTTTCATGTCCCAAATCCCTCTGCGTGTGACAGCTTTTATCCTTTACAGCTCGAGGGGGCTGCAAAGAGAGAGGCCTCTTTTCAAGTCAACTGCTTCATGCTAAAAGTAGAGAATAGCTTATATCCTCCAACATTATGCAGACCTTCATATCTGCAAGGCATAGAGTCTGGGTCACAAAGAAGGGTGGGGTATTTGAGGTTGTTTGGCATTTTGAATGCCTAGTTGGGTATACCGTCTCCAGCAATAAACCCCCACCTCCAAGGGCAAACAGGCTCACCTTCTGCAGATGGAGGGAGGAGGGTAAAAGAGGGAATAGTTCAGAGGGTCTAGCAGCTGGACTTTATTTAAGGGTCAAAAAGTGAACCAGAAATTGTTCTGAAGACATAGAAAAAAACCCTTTGAAACTCAGATCATATCAGTATCAGGGGTGCAGCCGTTAAAATTTCAAAAGAGTTTTTCCTTTTTTCTTCATGACACTGTCTGCATATGACTGACAATGAATTACCATAAGCATTTCAATTGTTGCATTATGAATAATTGCTTTAATGTTGTTTGTTCTCTGCTTGTAGTATTAAATCTGAGCTTTGTTCTTGCTTGCCTTTGACTTAGACAACTGGAATTTGCATTAAAACAAAAAAGAGGCATGTGCTTGTACCAAGGATAATCACCTTGCTCTTTTTTGGGGAGAAAACGTCCTAAAAAAAATAATGTCTTTAGACGATGATTGATGTAATTTTCTGTAGTTCACTGTCAGTGTGACAAAAATGGATATTGATGTAGGAGGGATTTATAAATAGAAGGCTTAAAGGCTACTTTTATAGCCCAGACTAGCTTACAAAGGCCAATTTCAGAAATGGGATAACAGTTTCAATGTGTGATTGAGGAAACCTAAATCCTGCTCTGCACCATACTGTAGAAGTATTTGATGTTGTCCTCTTCCAAGGCCTGAAGCTTATGTCTGGCCAGCTCGAGTTGGGGGTGCTGTCCTACTCATCGGTACCAAACCCCCTGAAAGACAGCAGCTTCCAGCCAACTACCCACCCCCCCTTGCAAAATGTGGATCAAATTAACCCAGCAGCAGCAATGTTCTCCCTCGACAATCAATTGACTCTCCAAGTCCTCAAAACAGACACTCTTGTTTTTTCCCCAAGCCAGACATGAACTGTGTTTTCTGCTTCATGTTGCCTGCTGCTGTTTGTTTGACTCTGTCAGTTTTCTAATGACAAAAAAATGCTTTTCTCCAAGACGGTTTTAGTCTCTGGAGACCTCTTTTTAGTAATTACCAGCAAGTGGGTCCAAAAAAACAATACTATTCACTGAAGATGTAATAAACACTTTGTCACATAACTGCTATGAGGATTTGTTTTATATTCACTCTATTTCCAGCATCATTCAGATGAACCACTGCTTACCTGTTGGTTTTGGCATGAGCTGTCTCATTAGGGTGCAAAGCTGTCCATCATGTAATTGGCAGCACAGTCTTGACTCGGCTTGGCAAATACCGCAGTTTCCTTGATTGGGACTGGCTGTCAATCAACCGCTCAGAGCTCATTCCCAGAATAACTGAGTCTACCTATGGTCAAGATGATTCCAGTTTGAACACAAGTCCTTTTCTTCTGATTATGAAAACTGCCATTGTACGGTTGCTGATCTACTGTATACACTCAGTATGTCGAAACCATTAGATATTTGCTAAAATATACGTATATAAGTACGTTGGTTTCATCTCAGTCCTCATACATGGCTCACGAGTAGGCATGTACTTTAGTTTGCACACTTTGTTCCACAGAAATGGAATTTAATATATTCTTAGGTATGTTTTTCTATTAGTGTATAATCACCTGAA